TGTCACCTACTTAGTACCTAATGTACTTTTCCTCCCGCAACAAACCACTTATCAAATAATCAAGACCCAATTTGAATTGAAAATATATATATTTATCTTAACAATTAAAGTAAATATTTTAATATGCTTATCACAATTATTTATTGCATATATTTATCTTAACAATTAAAACAAATACTTCTTGTGCAATTTATATAAATATAGCCACATAAAATATTGAGAAAAATCATTTTGATACCTGTCTTTTCTCAATGTATCTTTTACACTCTTAAGTTAGTACCTAGAGTTCTTAAAAATATCATATTGATACCATGAGATCATTTTTTTTTTTAACAAAAAGCGTCTTTTCTATCATTTTCGTCTTTTTAATATTTAAATGGTCAGAAATTAAAACAAAAATGTCAAAATATTATTATTTATAACTTGGAGATATGGATCTAATAGATATTCGGTCTTTGTTTTGTAATTATGGAGCCATCAATACAGTCATAGCTCAATCTAAATTTCACAATTAAAGTTACACCCATTTTAAACTCCAATTCAGAATCAAAAGCATAAAATGCATAAAGTTACACCTTTTTTTTTTTTTTTTTGCTTTTAGGCATAAAAATTTTTAATCTTAAAGTCGTGCTGGGCCGATCCTTTCTCTTTTAGAGTCGGTCGGGCTAGTCTAAACATCATATTTAAAAAAAATTGAAAATACCTTATAAAATTCATGCTGGGCCGGGTCGACTCTAAACTTTTTGGGCTTAAGGCCGGATTGGGTTAACCCTCTCTCTTTTAAGACCGGCCCGGACAGCCTAAACTTACACCTTTTGACTGGTCCATTTTGACCTATCCCAAATTGATAACTCTAGTCACTGATGCATATCGTGGTCGTCCTTGTTGTTTGTAGAAAAATATTCAGGTAAATTATCAAAAATATTTTACTAGAATACTTTCTTTAACTGACTCGGTGCTAGAAGCCTAACACGTTCAACCATTTATGTTGTATTTAGAAAATATTCTACCAGAACTCTCCAATGAACATAAATGGAGTATGAAGATGCCTGATCATCTATCTTGATTTCAGAAGAATGTGTTGGTAAAACATAATGGGATGTCTATGGTTCTGAATCATGGTTCTTGGTTCTCTACAGTATTTTTCTCTCACAAAAAAATTGAATTTCAAAAATCAGAATCATGAATCATGATTCTGAATCCATAAACCAAATGTCTCATAAAATATTCGACCAAAATATTTTTTGGTGAGTTGAATAGCATATTCTTAAGATTCAAATATTGGTGGCAAAAAATGTAAAGATGTTACATGGCATTTTTGGTAATGGGAAAAGTACATGGTTTGTCATAATTTTTAGGAGACATATTATTTATGTCATTTTAAATAATGAAGTGTTATTTTGGTCTTTTGTTTTCTCCTTATTTTTGAATGACAATTGTTTATTTTTTAGTGCAATGGTATAAATAATATTTTTTACTTTTTGGTTTTTTCCCCTTTGTAAATTTAGTAAGAGAAATTTACTGAACTTATCTTTAGAGTTCATAGGTTTAGATTTTTAGACTTTACTGTTGATTAATATCTTTTGACTAATATAATTATTTGACTAAAAAGAATATTAATTAAGAATAAGAAGTAAAAATCTTGACTCAAGTAGAATATTTATCTCTTTTACTCATTTACTAATGAAACCCAAAGATTTGTAACTGGACCATAATAGAAGACAACAAAATTATTGGGCCTAGTGAGATCCACTAATTAAAGCTCATGAAGCATCTAAAAATCATGTGATAAGCAGTGAAATATCATAAGTGGTTGAGTAATTAGTAAATTATAACCTATTTTTTAAAAATAGTAAATTATAATATAATTTGATGTTTTAAGTTTTAAATATTATTAAAAATCTAAAAATATCCCTAAACCCTATTTTTTGGAGACCATTTAACACTGTATTTACTAATAAATATTATATTTATAATTTAATACCTATTTACTAGTAAATACCTTATTTACCCCAAAAGTCGACCACCAACTCTGGCGACTGTTTAACGCTGTATTTACAGGTAAATATCGTATTTACTAACAAATACAGTATTTATTAGTAAATATCATATTTACCCGAAAATCCGACCACTGACTTCAATGACCGTTTAACATTGTATTTACCAGTAAATATCGTATTTATCCAAAAATTCGGCCACCGATTCGGCGATCGTATTTACTAGTAAAAATCATATTTACCAATAAATATTGTGTTTATGAGTAAATATCATATTTATCTGAAAATTTGACCACTAACTCCGGCGACCGTTTAACACTGTATTTACCGATAAATACCGTATTTACTAGTAAATATCATATTTATCTGAAGATCCCGCTACCGACTCTTGCGGCCATTAAACACTATATTATCGTTAAAAACCATATTTACCGGTAAATATAGGCTTCGTTCACTTCGCGGATTCGAGTTTTCAATTCGAGCTGAGATGTGACATTTTCAGAGAGCTTTTCACTGTAGCAGAAAAAGTTAGATGTGACATTTTCAGAGAGCTTTTCACTGTAGCAGAAAAAGTTAGATGTGACATTTTCTGAGAGCTTTTTACTGTAGAAACCTAAAACTAAAAACTCGAATTAGTGAAATGAACGAGGCCATAGCATATTCCAAATTGTAACTACTAAAGTATTTATATGTAAATATAGTATTTACCATATTCAAAATTGTAGTTACTAAAGTAGTATTACAATATTTTTTAGATGCAAACTTGTAACTACTAAAATATTTACTGATAAATACAGTATTTACCATATTAAAATTGAAATTAGTAAAGTATTTACTGATAAATACAATATATACCATATTCAAACTTATAACTACTACAGTATTTTCAAGTATATACATTATTTACCATATTCAATCTTCTAATTGCAAAAGTATTTATCGGTAAATACAGTATTTACCAAATTGAGAATTGGATATAGTGAAGTATTTACTAGTAAATACAATATTTACCATATTCAAACTTCATTTCAATAAAGTATTTACTAGTAAATACAATATTCACCATATCAAAAATTAGATTCAGTGAAGCATGGTAATACAATATTTACCATATTGGCAACGGTAAATACTATATTTACCTGGAAGTTTGAATGTCTGTGCCGACAATGATAAATACTGTATTTACATCTAAATACTAAATTATTTTCAATCTTGTGAAAATCTGAATAAATCCATATAATTATAAAAATTTATGCAAATTAACTAATATTAAAAATTGATCCCAAAAATCCCTAAATCTCTACAAAATCAAAATCAAAAACCCTAATCCCCAAATCAACCCCAAATGAACCCCTTTCCTAAACCCTAAGCCTAACCCTAACCCATGTTGGCCACCCTTTCCCAGCAGAACCTATCGTAACATATTAAAATTGAAATTAGTAAAGTATTTAATAGTAAATACAATATTTACTATATTCAAACTTATAATTACTACATTATTTTCAAGTATATATAGTATTTGCCATATTCAATCTTCTAACTATTAAGGTATTTATAGGTAAATACATTATTTACCAAATTAAGAATTGGATACAGTGAAGTATTTACTAGTAAATACAATATTTATCATATTCAAACTCGAATTCAATGAAGTATTTACTAATAAATACAATAGTCAACATATCAAAAATTGGATTCAGTGAAGTATGGTAATACAATATTTACCATATCGGCAACAGTAAATACTATATTTACCCAGAAGTTCGAATGCCTACGTCGACAACGGTAAATACTGTATTTACATCGAAATACTAAATTATTTTCAATCTTGTGAAAATCTGAAAAAATCCATAGAATTACAAAAATTTATGCAAATTAACTAATATTAAAAATTGATCCCAAAAATCCCTAAATCTCTTTGAAATCAAAATAAAAAACCCTAATCCCCAAATCAACCCCAAATCAGCCCCTTTCCTAAACTATAAGCCTTGCTAGCCACCCTTTCCCAGCATAACCCACCCCAACCGACCACGCCTCTGCTCACCCCTCGCTGCCGACCATGGTAGATAGAAAAAACCACCGCTACGGTGAACCAAAAATTGCTGCTGCAACATCCAACAAAAGAAAAACCAAAACCTACAAAAGAAACCAACAAAACCAAAAAAAATCATTGGTGTCGTGACACGAGCGCAGTAGCGGCGGGAGCGTCCGGAGAACACGGCGAGATCACTGAATCTCCGTCGCGACGTCATGAATCTCTATCGAATCTGGTTCAAGGAGCCAACGAGATCAGAGATTGACATCTTTAGCTGCTTCAGAGGGGATCTGATCAGAGGTTCATGATCTGGTTGGAGGTCCTTACTGCCGTAGGAGATCTCGGAGGCGGTTGTTCGTGCATGTTTGAAGATTTGGTCGTTGGCGTTCGCTGAAGCAGATCGCTAGAATGGAGCTCGTATATGCACTTCTAAGGCGAGGTGCTCGCCAGCGTTCGCCTAAGAGATATTCGAGAATAGAGCTTCGATTTGCTGAAGCAGACAACAAAGAACCAAAAGGAGATATCGGAGTCGGAGTCAGTCACCGAAGCAGATTGACGAATCTGCACTTCTGAGGCGAGGTGAGGAGAAATAGATTAGGAGGAGATAGAGAGATGAGGAGAAGCTGGAGAGAGATCGAGGAAAGAAGGGCCTGTTTATTTCGCTGATTCGAGTTTGTAATTTAAGTTAATATGTGATTTTATGTGAGAGCTTTTTACTGTAGCAAAAAGTTAGATGTGACTGTTTCTGAGAACTTTTTACTGTAGCAAAACTCAAATTCTAAACTCAAATCGGTGAAGTGAACGAGACCTATGTACAGAGAAACCCTACAATTAATGATAAAATTGGAAATTTACTAATTAGTTTAAAAGAGAAAATACAGATATGCTATAATTTACTAACTTTAAAAAAAATACTATTTATTTCAAATATGTTATTAAATATGTTATACTGTGTATTTTCCCAAAAATCACGTTATCTCCCGCTCTGGATTGTCTGGTATAGTTAGGTGAAAATGATCTCTTTGTTCTTCTGAGTCTCAAAAAACTCCACTCCATGATTCCTCTGCAAATCCATCAACCACACCACCACCAAATCCATTTTTTCTCCTCTTCCCGAATTACACCTCTCCCTTTCTTTCTCTCTCCGGTCCGCCGCACAACCGGGTTCCCCGCCGAACCGAACCGGCTCCGCCCTTCGCTTCCCCAAATCCCATGGTCTTCTTCCAGACCCATTTTCAGACTTGCTAGGGTTTCGGAAATTGAGCCCTCCATTTTTTGCAATGGAGGAGGAGGAGAAGAAGGAGGAGGAGAGGACGAGTCTTCGGAGGACTTGTCGCCGAAAGGCGCGGTGTATCGGAAGACGCTGGCGTTGGTGGAGTGCTCCATGTCCGCTGCCCTCACTGGATTGGTGTATTTCTTGAGCAATTCTCTCGCGATTGAGGTTGGTTTTTCGGATGTCAAAAATGGTCTTTTTCGCTTTAAGCGTTAATGGTGCCAAGTGATTGTTCAATTGTGCTTTCTGCTACTTTTCTTTCATAGCGTTAGAGTGTTCTTTGAGAAATTGTTCTGCAATTGTGTCCTTTTTCAATTTAACTAATAGAACCAAGTGATTGGTTTGAATATCCTTTCTGCCAATTTTCCTAGCCTTATTTTGTGTGTGTGTGTGTGTGTGTGTGTGTGTGTGTGTTTTTTTTTTTTTTTTTTTTTTTTTTTTAAAGCAATTTTATAGGAATTGTGGTCGGTTGTTGTGAACTGAAAAATGGGTTCGTTTCATGTTGGCTAATGGAACCAAATGTTTCTTTATAATTTTAGTTTTACTCTTGGATGCTACTTTTCCTTTTGTTATTGTTTTTGTTTTTTTGTTTTTTGTTTTTTTTTTGAGCAATTCTGTCGAATTGAGGCTGGTTTTTGTGAATCGAAAATCGGTTATTTTCCATTTATCTAATAGAACCAAGTGATTCTATGTTTAATTGTTCTTTATGTGTAATATGGTGCTTCCTTCTGTGCGTTGGTGTATTTTTTGAGGAACTTTGTCGAAATGAGGTTGGTTGTTGTGAACTGACAATTGGTTCTTTCCTTGTTAGCAAATGGAATCAAATGTTTCTTTTGAATTATCTTTAGTATTCTATTTTTGTTTAATTTTTGAGCGATTCTCTAGGAATTGAGGTCGGTTGTTTTGAGTTTTAAAAATGGATTCTTTCCACATAAGCTAATAGTACTAAATGATTTCTTTGAATTGTCTTTTGCTGTGTAGTATGGTGCTTGCAGCTGTTTTTCCCAGCGGTAGTGTATTTTTTGAGCAATTCTCTCGCAATTGTGGTTTGTCAAAACGAAAATGGGTTCTTTTTAAAACTAAATGATTGTTTTGAATTCTCCTTTTGCTGTTGTATGTTTATTTCTGCTACTTTTTTCTAGCATTGGTGATTGGTGTACTCTTTTGAGTAGACTCTGGGAACTGAGGTTGGTTATTCTGAATTGAAAAATGGATTCTTTTCATATGAACTAATAGAAGCAAGATGACGCTTTCTGCTAATTTTACTAGCGAGAGACAGTGGCTTCCGTATTTATTTATATTTATGTTAATAAAGATAGTGAATAGTGTATAAAAATTTCTTCTTTTTTATTTCTATGGAAAAGGAAAAAAAAATAAAAAAAAAAGCACTTGGTATTCTAGGTACTCTTTCGGCAGTTCTTTTGTGCTCTTATAGGAGAGAAAAATTTAAAATGAAAATTTTGTTCTACGTTGTAAGAGCTACTTGGTTTCAAACGTCTAATTGCTATGACTTGCTTTTCTTTGCCAACTAATCACGATCAGTTGCTTACTTGGCTTGTTAAGTAAACTATTTTATTGTGGCTAATTATATAAAGTTCTTTATTTGGTTTTCTGCAGAATTATTTTGGCTGTTTCTTCTCACTGCCAATAGTGATCTCCTCAATGAGATGGGGGATTCCGGCCGGAAGAAAAACTATGGTTTTTCACCATCCATAACTTACCATTGTCAGAGATTTAATCTTGTGCAAATTTCTACTTACCACTACAATGTTTTGTCTTGATAGGTAGCCACAACTATGCTATTACTTGTCTTGTCTGGTCCAGTAAAAGCATTAACATATCTGGTGAGTCTGCTTTCATATTCTGTGTAGCAGTTATTTGTTTACCTGCTTTAATGAGTAAGTTTCAAATAGGAGGTTTTTCTTTTTTTTTTTCCATGTTCAGATTGAGTTGTTTCTACGTTCCATGAAATCTTTCTCGAGTAATACGACCTAATTGCATCAAAATAACCTCCGTCCTCTCACTCTCCTGAACTTGTTTTTGGTGAGTTGCTAACAATCTTTAATTTGGATCTGATTTCTGCTTCGTGTTGAGTTTTTAGAGTGTGAAGCAAAGTTCTACTTTAATTGTAATATGAAGCTTTCACCTTTTTCATTGGATTATTATTTGGTCAATAGACTTGAGGTCACAAAGCATTTATACAATTGTGGTACGGTGCGGTATCTTTGTTGACAAATAAGTTTGGTGAAGCAAGTTGTATTAGTTTGTTGGAATGGGCAGTAATCTAAATATTTTGCCCCTCTTAATAGTCCATACAAATTTTTTGCGTTGCTAATCATATGATCTGAAGAACTTGCTTCATGGCTATCTCTTCTGCAGCTAAAGCATGGTTTAGTTGGTTTCACCATGGGCGCTTTGTGGAGGTATGTGATGACTGATGTTTGTGAATATAGGGCATTTCTTCAGTAGACAAAATGCAAACCTTGCAATAAAACTTTTTGAACTTGGAAACCCTTGTACTAAAATAATAAGTATTCTTCGTGGGTATTTTTATGTTGTGCCTTGTGTGTATGCTTTTAGAATAACCTGTTTTTTTAATAATTATTCTTCATACCAAAAAGCATTACAAGGAGTAGTTGCAGCCTAGGCTGCTGTACCACCAATGGCGAGGTCTAGAGTTTGAATCCCACACCCCTAATTCAAAAAATAAAAAATAAAAAAGAGGAACTCTAATACCATCAAATTATTTCATTCTAGCTTAGCATAGTCAAGGGGATCAAATTAATTCTAGCTTAGCATAGACAAGTGGATCAAATTAGTTTAAGGTTTGAAATGAGAGGTTAGACTGCTCCTTTAATATCCATTTTTAGTTCTTGAATTTTCAATTAATTCTAATGTCCTTGTAAACCAATCTTCATTCTCCCATTGTTGAATTAGTTGAAATGAGGCAGTAGTTTTTTTTTTTTATAATAATTTCTTTCTTCTTTTTTTCCCATCTTACATCTTCTCAGGTCGGGAGCAAATTGGGAGCTCTCAATTTTCTTGTGCACAATTGTAGTGTTTGATCCCTTCTGCCTCAAATTCTTTACAGCTGTTTGAAGCTAATTGTGTTTATTATTTATTTCCAACCAAAAAAGAAAGGGAAGAAAAAAAAGACTGACATGTGTTTACACGTACAGGTTCGAGCGTTGGGTGCTGTAGGGTATGTCTTGATATCTTCATTCCTGATAAGAGAAAACATACTTGCTTTGGTAATTAATATTCTTTGACCGGACTTTTTGCTTGACAATGACTGTACCAGGAATTCATTTTGAGTTATTTATGTGCTTGCTTGCAGATCACAATAAACATACATGCTTCTTTAACATTCTTGTTCACCGCATCCGGAGTTTACATAATTCCGTCAATGGAAGTGATTTATACCATCTTCGGTGTTCTGGTATTTCCAACTAACTACTCAACCTCCCCAATTCCCAGTCGCTCCCTTTTTCTTCTGTCGTTTCATTGAAGCTTTTGCACTTAAAACAACTTCACTTGACAGGTTTTACTAAATTGTGGATCCTTCGTCTTCTTGTTGCATCTATTGTATTCTGTGTTCCTTACAAGGCTTGGGATGAGGGCTTCGTTGAGAATGCCAAAGTGGCTGGAGAAGGCTATATAGTAGCAGCTTAGAACAAGAAGCTAGTAAATTATTTGTATTGTAAGCCTGCAAAGAAGCACATTATTCTTTCGGGATGAAGCCGTCTTTGATCACATTCATCCTCAATCATATTCCGATTCTGTGAGATTCCTGTTCTTTATCAATGTCCATTGTTAATTCGCATCTTCAAATCTTCAAAGTACGAGAAGAACAAAGATGCCTATCAGCCTATCAGGTATTTATGCTTCCCAAGTTCAGTGTGGAAAGGAACTGAGGCTGCCTGTAGAAAAAGTATCTTGTTAACTTTCAGCTTTCTTTCTTCTACTTCCATCCTTTTCTTTCTTTTTCTTTTTCTTTTTTTTTTTTTTTTTAAGCTTCGGGGGTTTAACACTTCGTACTCATTTATCTTGTTTGGGGTCAAAGCATCTTGTTGTGAGATCACTTTTGTACAATTATATTTCAAGGAAAAATAATAAAAGCACCTTGATTTCTATTATGGATAATAATATGCAAACTCTTACAATACCGCATGAAAGTTTGCTAGTAGAGAAGAATTTGAGGTGAAAAACGCATTGGTAAATATCAAGCAATTTTTCAAGTAGAAAAGGTGATTCCAACTTGTCATGATTAAATTGTTGCAAGTAAATGGTTATTAATTCAGCAACTTAAATGACTACTAAGCATGATATGTTAAAGGGTACAAACCTTTAATTTTCATGCGTACGCAGATAATCCATCCAATATTTTGATATATTCTTTTTCTTAAGAGACCTTTTCAAGATGGTAAAATTCATTGTTACACAAGCGAATTATCGCAAATTGCCGATGAACAAACACGCAAAATCAAACTTGAACCATCTATACTTCTAGGATTAAAAAAGGTTTATTATGAAAGTACACAAGTATAAATCTACATTGTGCTAGCTTAACTTTTACAATGAAGAAACCAAAAGTGAAACCTTCTAATAAGGTACAGAAACAAACGGTATTCCAATTCACATGAACAAGCCTAAACGGTTGATGATTCCAAAGTACATATAGTGTGCCTCACAAAATTTTTTGTATATTAAAGACAATATTTTGAACCAAAACTAAGACAAGTATGAATGCTAGATTACTTTCTGGTACCTTCCGACCTCAAAAAACCAACTGCAAGCCCCAATTTTGTCCAACATCAATATCCAAAAACATCAGCAGTACTAATGATGCATAAATAAAAAAGAACATACCTAAATAACCTATTCTATTCCGAAATTCAACAATAAATAATTTATCTATTACAGAAGTGAATGATTCAGTTGGACTTGAACATCATCGGATCAAGTCACAACTGTCATCGTTCTTTGCTTGCCCTGAAAAGCTCCATCGTTCTTCGCTTGCCCTGGATTGGGCAAAGAGGAAACAAAAAGTGTCAAATTTCAATTGCAAACATAGATCAATGATACTAGCTACATCTACAAGCACACCACGAACTTCAAGAGACATCAGATGAACATGAGAAGAACATACCAAAAAGGAAAGATCGACAGATTTCAAGCTTCTTTTCTAGTTATCCTGTCATTTAAGAAAGGAAAATAGTTAGGAAAAAGACCCCACGTAAAGAAAGAATAATTCTGCAGAGGGGCGTCAAAACTCGATTGTAAGAGAAGTCTACTGCTAAACAGGTTACAATCTTAAGGCAAGTTTACATCCTTGATTTTGATCAAGTCTGATGCTGGCTGCTAAGAGTGTCTTGAATGTAATACTATATTCTTACCTGAAGCAATAAATTCCCAAGGCTGTTGTGATTTCATGAATTACTGATGTGGCAAAGTGCAAATAGAGAGCAACTGAGTTTCATCAAATGAATACTTTGTTAGGGAAAAGTAAATAAGTCATAACATAAAACATGATCAACAAGGATCTAATCACTCTTGTCAGCTGAAAACTACACAGAAACTATAATCCGAAAAGATGCAGCAGCAACAAATCCTGTTACATCTTGTGGAAATAACAGTGTGAAATTGCAAATCGGATAAGGAGATGAAAAACCCGCCTTTAAAAATTGGCTTGTTTGAAATACGCATAACAAACACCGTACCTGTGAATACGCAGAAACCAAGAACAACCACGCTCTCATCAACTAAAGGAACTCTGCAAGAAAAGAAAAGGGCAGAAATTTATAAATGGGTGAATATCTTGGTCATAAAGAATTAGTTAGATGCACAAAATTATAGCATCCAGAAAGTAAAACCATATACAACATACCCATCATTCAATCTAGCCGTGAGTGCATTTGCAATAGCAAATGGGAGATACAATAATGACTGCAAAAAGTACTTGCTAAAGTTAGGAAGTAGCTCATATTCTTTTCCAAATTATTTAACGTTTATAGAAACCAAAAAAGTCAGATCTTATAATGATAAACAAACAATTTCTAAAAGTTGGGTTGAAAATGTGACATACCATGCACATTCCAGTTTTCAAACCCTTTGGTTCATCACAAAGATGAGCCAGAATCAATCTTCCCTGCAAAATAAATTTTTCCTTCAGTGAAAATGAGATGACAAATGGCCAGTTTGGTAGTGCTATAGATTTTAGAAAAATTGCTGTTAGCTGTGGTAAAAAAAAAAACAGCTGTTATAAAAAACAGCTGAATGTTTGGTAAACTGTAATTATACAAGTATTGATTCTAGGGGTATTATGAAAGTTTCATTAATTGTACTTCAAGGTGATTGCCACACAATCTAAAAACTAAAGTTAGTTGCCTTTGGGCTGCTTTTGATTTTGACTGTAAATTCTTTAAAAATTCTTTAAGAATCACTTTTTATGGTTTTTACCAAACACAAATTGCAGTTGTGGATGGCTAGAGAATTGATTTTGGGCTCCAAGAATACCAAACATACCAAAAAACTGATCCCCCAAAATTATCTTCAAGAAAAAGAAAACAACGATAGCATATTATTGAAGGCCACATAATTTGAGCAGTAGTCCAGAAGAAATCTGATCATAAAGGTAAAAAGACGATCAAGTTAGAAAGAAAGAAACATAGATGCCTGACCACAAGGAATCCAAAAGCGAGTCCAGTTCCCACTACGATCAAATGTGGATAATTCGCTATGATATCAGATGGAGACAAATAATCCCTACATGCGTACAACAGGAAATCAACACACGAAAATATCTTGCACACAACTAAAAGTCAAATATCCAATAAGGAAAACAAAATGCACGAGGTTTGAGATACTACCAAGTAAGCACTCCGCCTAGAAGTACAGCAAAAGGATAAAGCTGGAAGAAAGCCCAATCATGTCAGTTTAGCATAAAAAGTTACGAGACAAGAGAACATAATAATAATAAATTACCATTGCCAGTGCCAGTAGCATGCTTCCTTTTCTAGCCTGAACAACCTTATAAACATTGTGCACACTGCATTGATTAATGAGAAACGTTAAGTTCAACTTGAACTTTGATAATTGATGGTAATAAACTGATAAAGTTTTACACATATATAAGACTGACACAGAATATTGCAATCAAGGTTCCAAAATATAGTTAAGTAAGATGCCACATGTCACAACAATGTCTCAAATTTCAACCATCTAAGGTACTAAGAGATACGTACTTGAATGCGACCGTCGGTATAACAGCAAACACTATCATTAGAAACAACACGACCTTGTGTGTTTGGATTTCTGATGTAAAAAAAAAAAACCGGAGAGAGCATGTTAAAACCCTCTGCACAGAGGAAGTTCCTTATGTAATCACCATAAGGGGGAAAAGACAGAGAAGTTGAAGACTTGAAGTATCACAAGTAACAAGTTCAAGTAGAAAATTTCATACGATTTGTTCAGTAAAATGTTTGGGGTCATCAACATAAAGATAGTCCTACCGTTGAAAAACGGGACCCAACTTAAAAAGGGCACAGACTTCCCAAATTGTTGAGCCCACCATTCAGCACCTGGAAAATAAATATGGCTTTCAATTTCAATAGACAGACATTGTACAGGTAAAAAAAAAAAAAGAAATAGAAAAGAGGACAAGAATATAAGTCTTAGATAAGCATTAAACTACAAGTTCATGAAAGCTCGCCAAGAGTTGGACCTTACCCACAATAGCTGTGAAGAAATGGACTACATATATCAGCATGAGACCCTCTGTAGGTCCATTAATAGCCGGAAGAATAAGGGTATTGGTGAAATAACTGGATAAAAAAAAAATAATAATAATCCTTGATAACTGTCAACAAAGCTCCACTAATAGAGAAAATGACAACGTTTTCCAAAAAATAAGATAAGGATACAAGTCCTTGCATGACTATTTCCTCTTTCAAAAAAGTAGAGAAAAGAAACGGAAGATAACTTCCAAAAAAAGTCAAGCATGCATAATAGTTGGAGCTTGGATAATTAGACTTTATTGCCTCATAGAGTCCAGATTAAACAACTTACTGTTCCCATGTTGCACCATAAAATGGAACAGCTGAAATCACCCAGAACCAGAAAGTGTCTCTTCCACACATAGCAGTGCTCCCAAAAGCAATTGACTCAAACTGAATTCATAAACAGAAAGGATACATCAGTGAGCAGACCATAAATAAGATCACGTTCATTCTCCAAAGCTACATAATGTCAAGCAATGAAAAAGAGTCAAAGACACATACCGCGCATGCAAGAGCATCACACCCTGCAACATATTAAGAAAGAATGAATAAAATGAATCAACATCATTATTGAGCACTTATGGTATAAGGAGAGTGAACAAAAGAGTGAAATACATTGTAAAAGAAGTACCGTGGTCAAAAAGTTCCCCCAATGGACTCGAAGAATTTGTCCGTCTTGCTTGCTTTCCGTCAACAGCATCAAAGGTCTAGCATTTGAAACATTAAAAAGGAACCATCACATACATATAATATTTCGTGTGTGTGTGTGTACTTGAATCAGTTTAAGGAACGTTGTTTTGACATAATCAAGAAATTTTGCTTGCAAGCCAGGAAGAGACATGCTTGAATAAATTTCATCACACCTGATATAAGAAAAGTAGTAATCCATGAGCAAAATGAACCCACCATGGAGGAGGTGAATCCAACTGAGGCGAATAAATCTGAACACAAAAAATAAGCCTATGCATCAATGAAATTAAAGGGAGTAAGAGGCACACTGAGATCTCTTCTAATTTAAGCCACGAGAAGAAGAAGGAAAAAAAAAGAAAAAAAAAAAGGAAAAAGAGCCTTCCTGAAACTTCTAAATAGCTAGAAATCTGTTTTGCGTACAATACAGTACTGTGCATATATAGAGAAAAAGTTTGCTGCTAATCCTAACTAAATCCACTGTTCCAAGAACAGATCTATCAATGAACTAATATTCCCGTGGGGAAAAGAAATGTCCCTTGATTGTATCAAGGACTAAGACAAGACTTTAGGGTACCAAGAGGAACTCGCATTAAAGTTTTTCCCTGATCCCAGTCTCAAGGATACTGGAAAATACAGAGTAGAACGAGGAATTAGAGAATAAGCATGAACAGCAGTAAGATAAGGATCAAATTGCAAAAGAAAAGCCTAAGATATAGAACTAAAAACATGGTGATAGAGAAAATTCCACTTACAACGCCAAGCAGTGCAGATGTGACTAAAAACATGAATCCTGTAAGTGTTATCTGTCAAAAAGTAAAGCATAACTCAACAGAGAAGAGGTTAGCACAATTGCAGTCAAACGAAAAATTTACAAAATAAAGCAAGAATATTAAAAGAAAAGGACATGGTACCCTACCATGTTTGGGCTGAAGAAGAGACCGGAATCCAAATTCCAAACACGCATATTGACCAAAGAGGGGAAAAAGTTAGCACATCTGATGAACAGATAAATACTAAACGCACAAAAAAAAAAGCAACTCATCCACTAAGTATAAGTTAGAAACTCTGGATAAATGTTAAAACATATTCTTATTCTTTGTTTTTTTCCTGAATATAAAATAGACAGTGATGTAGGTGTTCAATATGTTAAATAGACAACCGCATTTTCAGATACATAGCAAGTGCATAATTATATTACCTTAATTATAAACTACAAAAGCTCGTTGATTTAGGACAAACAAAATGCAAAATCCTATATCCCAATACAAAAAAGTTGCCCACTATATCTAATTCAAACGAAAGTATTAAGGAAAGCTAACATTGTTCCACATCCAGAACTTACTAATATAATACGGAAACTTCTTCACCATTCTGATAGCATCACCAACTTAGGTATAATACCAAGTTTTCAATTGGTAGTGAAAATTTTGATTGAATTCGGAGAAACAAACATTACAAAACTTGGAGCAGTGAACTCAAAATCACAAAAATTTTGATTGAATTTGGAGAAACAAACATTACAAAACTTGGAGCAGTGAACTCAAAATCACAACCTTTTTCGTCAATTTAAATCCGTAATCGATCAAGGTGATGTTACTGGTATCAAATTGCTTAATGTTACTGTTCCATTCGTTCATCATGGCATACAACATCAACAACTTCGAGTAAGTAGCCAAATAAAAAAGTATCAAGTTCTAATCTCAATTCCATTACAACAAAACTTATCTAATCCAACGCCATAAAGCATTAAGGGTTTTTGAACGGTTAAAACACATAATTAAGCAAACAGTTAAACATAAAAAGTGTGATATCCTAGAGAATAAAAAATTAGGATCAGGAAAGCAACAAAGACCGCGATAGTTGAAGAACTTACGGCATCCAAAGGGGAAAGAAATTGACAAAGCGACTCCAAAAAGGCTGCAAGATATATTTGGCTGCATATGAATGATCCACACCACTGTACTTGTATCTGTGCAGAGCAGCCACACCATGTGCTCCAACATAACCCATTTGTCTTTTTCCAAAATTATAACTCTCAAACTTTCAAACACAACCCAAATCAAGTCTCAATATGACCTGTTAAAAAATAAGCAATGAAAATAACTTGTCGTGAAAACTAAAAAGAATTTGCACAAAACCCATTTGAAATACATGCTTCAACAGTCACCTATTACCATAATAACCAACTTATAGATATAAACGATGTGATTCAACTAGTTGTCGCATATGGGTAATGCTTAAAAAACGTTAAAAACAATAAAAGATAGAAAAAAAGGCAAAAACTCGAAACTAAATACGGAAGATAAATACAAGAATCGCATACTCTAAATAAATCAAACAGATTGAAGATTGAAGCTTCAAAACTTTGTTCTTTAGATCTAACACCGAATGAGGCTTATAGAGCAGAAATGAGATTTGAATGTGAAAATCGCAAGAAAAAGACGTTACCAATGCGGGCGTCCCCGAAAAAAAGCTCGTAGAATGAAGATCAAAGATGGAGAGGAAGCTGAGAAGGGAGAGAAAAGCAGAGAGATTATTTATATAAACAACAAATTGATCCCAAAAAAAAATGACACGGATAGGTCTTTAAACTTTCAAGTTTGTGACGATTTGGCCCCAATCTAATTTTATTAGCAAAAATCACTCTAAAATAAATTTTATTAGCCGTAACAACCCTAGCCCTTAAAATTCTGTTAAGAGTTTAGACGTAACTGTCATTTGCCGTTGGGGAGGCGGGGGCTTACCGGAGGCGCTTTGCCAGCGGAGGATGTTGCCGGAAATTGGGGGCTCGTGGGGTTGGATTGTGGCGGTGGGAGCGGAGTTCGTGGCGGCGTGCGGTGGTGCAGAGTGGCTGCCCACCCGGTGTGGTGCTGGCAACGTTGTTATGTAACTTTGCTGTCTTTTTTTTTTTTTTTTTTCCCTTTTTTAAGGCATTTATGGTTTTGGTTCAATGATGACTCTTTCCATGTAAACTTTAATGAAATTTTAGGATGAGGACTGAACGGTCTATAAAATTTGATTCATGGAAAGTTTAGCTAATGAAATTACTTTGGGCTAATATGGCGTTGAATGGGCGCGAAAGCAGAGGATTTTTGCAAATTGTGCGTGTCGGAAGGGGAGCAAATAGCAATATATCGAGCTCAGAACGAAGGTTCTGTTCCCTGTGGTCGAGTGTAGCATATCAACTCTTTAACCCAGCCTCGACTAGCCGAGTGATCAAAATGAATTGGTACGGCGAAAAAGTGCTCATCTTTTTTTCTTTTTTTTTTTTTTTTTTTGGCAGAGCCAAAAAAAAGTACTCATCTGGTAATCCAGTGATGATAATACAGCCAAAAAAAAAAAAGTTGTAAAATTGGGCCTTTTTAAAATAAAAAGGTCCTCAATAGTCTGGCACTGTCGTTAAATTTTTTTTTTAAAAGGGTTAAATTTCCATTATAAATTCAGTTAGTATTGTATGTTTTATTTTACATAATGTTAATGTGATCGATAGAAAACAGATGATATACAAATATAAATTTCCTTATAAGTTGAGCCCAAAAAATAATATCGATATATAAATATACATATATATATGCTTTATTTCTTGAAAAGTGATTATTAGTTTAAGTACTTGTATACATTTTTGGTTATATGATATTAATTAAGTTAAGTTCAAATTATTATCAACCTCATTAGACATTTTTATACAAAGTGATTCCAAAATTATAATGTGACTTCAAAGTTCAAACTATGATTAATCGTTACATAATTATATAAGGGATAAAATCATTTTAGTATCCTCTTTTATAATGAAACATCTTGTTGGTACACTATATTTTTTATAATATTAAAAAGATAGCTTCACTTTTAAAAAAAAATGTATTTTTACTACTCTAAGATCGATTTTTAGAAAATATAATGTTTAAACTGTACTTTTCATTAATTAAATAAAAATTAATAACTTTAAATAGATACTAACAAAAAATATTTTCTCAAAATATTTTAACTTATTTTAATTTTTTTAATCTTTTAATTTTCAAACGTTTTAAAGTATTTTTAAAACTCTTTTAAAAATTATTAGTTTATTGTTAATTAGTGAGAATAATTAAATGGACATTTTATATTTAAAAAAAATCAGTTTTAGGATACAAAATCTTTAAGAAAAGTAAAAATACTATTTTAATATTATTAAAAGTATAAAGTGGGAGATGTTTCGCAATAATGGAGAATTTATTGCATAAAATCTCTTGATTTAGTGGCACCGAGAGATTTAGTTGAGGTGGAGTTTTAATAAGGAGTTGCAGGTTCAATCTCGTGTTGTATAAAAAAATGATTTTATCCCATTATATAATTTAGGGGTGTGCAAACCAACCAAACCACTAATTTAAGTGAAATGTAAACAAAACCAATTATAAATTGGTTTAGAAATTTCCAACCCAAACCAATTAAGAGAAATAATCCAAACCAAACCAAACTGATTGTAATTGGTTTGGTTTGATTTTTCTAATTGGTTTGAACTAATATTTTACAAGGTTTTCGCAACTCTCAACCGTAACTAGAGGAGTGGAGAATGAAAGGAGAGAAGAGGAGCGGAGAAAGCTTGAGGGTAGACCAAGAAGACAGTGTTAGTACTATATATATAAGTTATGGTAGAAACTTTTAGAGTATGAACCATTTAATTTTTGAATAAACGAGTTTTCTAAATACAAGTAAGTTATAGATACATGAAATATATATAATTTTAGAAAAATTATATAGATAGAAATTGATTTGGTGTGGTTTGATTTTTTTAAGACTAAAACACAAACCAAACCAATTTAATTAGTTTTTTAAAAATTTAAAATAGACCAAATCAATTATTAATTAGTTTAATTTAGTTGTCTTTTGATTTGGTTTAATTAGTAGGTTTGAATGATTTGTTGCACACTCATAATATAATTATCTTGCCGTAATACAACTTACCAATGTTTCTCATATTTTCGGCCGTCTATGTTTACTTTATAGAAAGTAGCTACTTTTCATAGATAAAGATGCCTCCGTGTATACTTTAATTTATCACACACGAAAAGGAAATCCAAATTTGTATGATAATTCGAAAATTGTTTTTCAATTTGATCTATAGAAAAAAATAAATAAAATAAATAATAAATAATAAATAAGGAATAAAGGTATCTTTTTTTGGCTATGGAAGCATATATCCGCACATTATGCTTATCCCAACATCCTATCGTAAACACCAAGAATATATTTACAAAATTATTACCTCTTACTACTTATCTCTCTTGAATAATTTTATAGATCGACATTTTAACTTTATTTCCCTCCATTACAGGATTCTTTATGTTTCCACTTTTATTGGGTTTGGAATATATGGTCTTAGCTCTTAGGTTATTCTTTATTGTTGAAATTATGATACTTTAGATTTTATGTTGTATAAGATAAGATATAAGATATAAGAAAAGATAATGTGCATCAGTGTATATATGATAGTGTTCGCTGCTGATTAGATTGTAAGAACGTTTACGTGGTAAGTTGGGTTCCCACATTTTATATAAACAAAAATATGTTAATACGAAAATTCATATACAATAAGTGGAGATTTTGCAATGGGGTGCTCCAATCGGGTCAAAAATCGTAACCATAGAATTTAAATTTAACTGTACATTTTTAAACGATTAAAGTAAATTATGTATCGACTGATAATAAGATACCCAACATAAATACAATATTTAATAATAAGAATAATGCTAGGGATACCAGCTTAAATTTTAACTTGTGTATATTAATGTGAGTTGTCATTGAGTGTTTAAAATAATGTCACATCAATTAATAATAAGAAATTATATTTACCAATAAAAAATGACAATTCACATACTACATCAGTTGGTACACAAAAATTAAAATTTGAATTGGTGTTCCTAACATTATTTTTACTGATAAATACAAATTTATCAATAAATATTGTACGATTTAAATCTTCTGCTCTAGGAAAATGACCCGTAGAAGTAGGGATCACATCCTATTGTAGAATCTCTCATCTATTATTAACATGTTATATACAATTTACTTACATTATTATTTATTATATACATGATAACTTTTGAATATGTAAACTTATTAATTTTGACTTCATCCACCATTTTTCTTTATTTATAACCCATACATGAATCTTCGTAAAAATTAAAAAGAATAATACATGTACTAAGATGGCATAAATTATTAAAATATAAAACTCTTTTTTAATTATTAAAATATTAATTTATCGATAAATTAATAATCTCGTTAAAATAATATTTTCTTTTAGTCCCAACAATATTAATTTATAGAGGTTTTATTGTATCTTAGAAGAGGAAAGAAATAAAACAAATAAAAAAGTGTATATATATAAAAACATTAATTAGTTATATGAATTTCAAACATATATCGTATTCACATGTATACAAATTAGCAAAAAGAAATTTCCAACAAAACAAAAATGTAAAAAGAGAGAGAAAAGGGCACAGGGAGTAATTAGAGAAAATATCTTCCAAATAAAAAGAAAATAATAGATGCATACATTACTTTGCCATGCATGCAAATTATACGCCAAACTCATAATCTCAATTACTTAATCAATTTGATGCATGACACCAACATAAGGCTTCACAGCCGAACCTAACCACATAATTCCACCGCGCTCTTCAACTTCGCTGACTGACTCGAGCTCGCTTCCGCCTCCGCCGTCCACTGCCCCCACAGCGTTTCCGTCACCGTCAAACTTGACGGCAACAGGATCTCCTATCCACGAGGGCATCGTAACTTGGTCACGAAATTTCTTGTGGACCAACTTTTTTATTACTGCTCTCCCAGTGTTGAGCGCTACCCAAAACTCACCGTTTTGGTTCCTCTTGATGTTGTCCGGAGACCTTCCCAGCTGAGCGAAGACTTCTGAGGTCTGAGCTTTTGGCCCTCTAAGCCAGACCCTGAAGATTCTCATTGTCGTTGATTCGGCAAAGAGGAGGAAAGAGTTGTCGTTGCTTAGGGCCACACCGTCGGGGAAGGCCAAGCCTCTGACGAGGACTGTCGTTTTCTTCGTATGTGGGTCGTATTGAATTAATCTTCCTGTTCTGTCTCCAGTGAGGACTGATAATAACCATACCCTGTGAGAAAAGCGCGAGAGGATATCACAATAGTTAATTGGAAGATTAATTCTTAAACGGTTACATCTATGAGTATTCACATTAAAAATTTGTAACTCTTATCCAAAACTGCTCCTACTCACATATCTAAACCATCAAAAAACTAATCCAATCATTAAAACAAAAGTTTCCTACCAATGAGATAAGGAAGTTGTTCCTTATACAAAAGTTTCCTTTTTTTTTTTTTTTAAATGATAAATGATAAGAGGCCACATTTAGCACGTCAAGGTTCCAAGGTACGCATTCCACTTAATTCCACTTAAGTTATTTTAAGAAGCCAGCATCCCACAAGATCCACACCAAATAATCTACTCAATTTTATAAAAAATAAAAAAAAGTTATAAAAAAGAATGAAAAAAAAGATTGCTATTTTCTATCTAGGGCGGATTTTGTCCTGGTAGAAAATACCTATCAGTGCCATTTCTGAATGCCAAATTTTATTTAAATGAATCAGATTTAAAACAGTAAAGGCATCCATATATATGATGAAATTCAATTAAAGGGTGCAGATAAGCTTGTTAGAAATAATATTTCTATCGGTAGGGTTTCTATCACATAATCTCTCATGAATCTTCTTGCGAGATATTGCTGTTGTCATCACGAATGCCAAACTTCGAATTTTCCATTCTAATATTCCTTATTTTTTATTAGACTAGGGATGACACGACAATAAATCTACCACTAAGATGTACAAAATACGTACATATGCATACACTATTCATAGAAAATAATTCATTTCTAGAAGTAGAAAAGTTTGAAATCTTTGAATGAGATTTTTTACATTCTTGGATACCTGTAATGATCAATAAATTACTGATCATGACATTTCAGCAACAACAAAAAATTGTGGTATTATAAGAAGTATAGCGACACTGAGACAACCAAGCCTACATGCATAGAAGCTAGACCTTAGATATTCCCTACCGCCATTTATGCCAATTAATTAACATACCTAGACCTTAGATATTCCCTACCGCCATTTATGCCAATTAATTGACATACTCTGATCAAAACCTGGGCATTCAAGAGAAAATGATCTTTCGTTTCAGCATCAGCGTCAATTGGCATGGCTTGCTATTTGATATATAGTGTATATATATATATATACACACGTAATTAAATACATACATACATACATATAAATATATATTTATATTGCCTTCCTTCAAACGACGATATACAATTGTGGCCAGCGGCGGAGGCAAGTGGGGGCACGTGCCCCACGGAAGTTATGTATAAATTTTTTTTTAATATAATTTTTAAAAAATACTATTTTTATTTGTATTTTTTTTTATTTTGTCCCCACACAAATTGAATTAAAAACTCTTTATTTATTTGTTCTCTCTCTTCTTTGCTTTTCTTCTCGTCTTTTCTCAACAAGCAATGTTTGCTTAAGGACTGGAGGACTGTTGCTGGCCCACTCACTACGCCTACTACTACTTAGGCTTGTCTTCTCTTCCTTTATTTATTTTGTGCTTTGTGCCCACTTCTTTTACCAAAAAGTTCAAGAGTTTTCTCTCTGTTTTTTTTAAAGATCCATGGACATTTGAGGTTTTGTCTGTAACTCATAAAAACTTTGTAGATATGGTGTATTTTGTCCTTTACTACGTTTACGTACAAGCTTTGTAGATTCATGTTTGTGGTAATGGTTTGTCTACTTTATAAATTATAACCTAGAATTTTATTTTTTATAATAAATTAATTTAGTTTCTATTTCCTAATGATTAATTAAAGATTTTAATTATTGATATTTGGTACAAATTATTTGATTAAGTAGAACTTGAATTTGTGTGTGGGTTAGTTTTTATATTCTTTGTATCGTTTCAATGAAGTAAATACTGAATTGCTTCTCTATATGGTGTGTTTGTCTCCCATTGATTTATTCTCTTCTTTTGACAAGAAAAGGTTGATTCAACTTGCTGAGTATTATGAAGATGATTTTTCTATAGTAGAACTCATGACACTTGATAATCAACTTGAAACTTATATCATTGATATGTGTTCAGGTAAGGTGTTCATAGAATTGAAAGGCAATAGTGATCTTGCACAAAAAATGGTCGAGACAAGAAAAAATTTGGTACATCCATTGGTTTATTGATTGTTAACTTTAGCACTGATTTTACTTGTTGCTACTGCTACTGTTGAGAGGGTATTTTCTGCTATGAATATTGTGAAGAATCGACTATGCAATCGAATATGAGATTAATGGATGAATGACAGTTTGGTTGTATACATTGAAAAAAAAAAATTGTTGATCATATTAATAATAAAGTTATTATGCAACGCTTTCAAATATGAAAACTCGACGAGCACAATTGTAATATATTTTATAGTTATTAAGAAATAATGTGGTAATATTTTTTATATTTACTGTTATTCTATTTATTTATTGTAAAATATATTTTATGCTCCCACCGAAATTTTATCCTATTCTGCCACTTATTGTTGCATCCTAGCAGTCGTTGGTCAGCATGGAAAATCAAGTGATCAAAACGCCAACGCCGATCAACGGCTCTGATCGATGCATGCACGACTGTCGCCAGCATAATACATGAAAGATGGAAAGCGAAAGTTGTGGCCTACGTCTAATAATGGTGTACGGGAAATTCTGTGATCTAGCTAATTAATGCTGTGTGTGTATAGTGTCGTCCTCTTCCCCAGCTATGGATGGTGCGCCTAAGCAATAACTATATTTCAAGCCCATGTTAGTGTAGCTACCTGACAGCTTCGATGGCCAGTTAACACGATCGGTGCTACACGTACGTAATAATACGCGTGACAACTTACTAAGTGATATATATATATATATATATATATATATATATATTTATATATTCGTGTCTCACTAAGTGATCTTAACGTTTAAATTTCCCCCCTTTCTTTTAACCGCCAGAGTTTCTCGTTTGAAAAATTACCCACTTATTATAATGGATGAACCTCCTAATAATATGGACACACTCTATCTTTACGTCACATGTGAACGCTTTACAAAAGATTAATAATAAGAAACTGGTAGTAAAAATCACCACCATATAAAATGTGGATCTTGCAATATATAATTTATAAATGGGACGCATATTTTGTTAATAATAGTGTTTAATAATGATGATGTCTTAAATATTTTTTTAGTATGGATGGTTACAAAGTTTTTATTTAGTCACGACTCCTTTTACTCTCAAATTAATATTTTTTTTTTTTGGTAGCATATTTATAGCATGGTTTGATGAAAATCTAAATCATCTTAATTCAGATTTCTCTCTTGCTAACATGTTTTATTGAGTCAATCATTATTATATTCGCTATCAAAAAAGGTGCCAACCAAGACATACATGAACAGTACAAGTGATATTAATATATATAATGTTACCTTCTTTGGTATACGGTGCTACTATCTGTAAAATAAACCACTCCTGTTTGGCTGTCGATATCCAAAGCATTTGCAAATCCAAAGGGAATTGCTTCTGCAGATGTTGCAACTTGGTGGGCCACACCTCCACTGGGCCCTACCTTGAGGAGACCAAAGTAAGCATCTGCGATGTAGAGATCACAAGTAATGGGGCTGAACTTCAGACCAAGCGGCCTTCCACAGGTTGGTTCATTATCTGGGTTGGTGGAGCCATCACACAAACTCCTCGGCCTAATCAAACCCAAATATGTATATCAATAAATAATTACCCGCATAATATCATATCTTAAAAAAATAATGTTGGTTTCAACTACTACTGGAGAATTTTTTTTTTCCTAATTAAAAAACAAGATATATAACTGATATCAATTATAGCATCTTATCTAATTTGACACCCGCTAGACGTTCTTCTTATATCAAACCCTCCACTTAAATATTATTTTTTTTAAAAAGAAATTGCATTCAAAAACTAAGAAACATATGATCTGATACAATGTTAATAACCCACCGGAGGGACATACACACCTGAGGCTAAAAAATGAGCACACTTAAAGTTCTAACGGAAGAAACTCCTCTTATCGAGATAGACTTTTAAGCTCTGGAGGGACATATCACCAACTCCCATAAATAGAGGATATCAACAACACGACATAGAAAAAATTCTAACAAAAAATTCAACCTAAAGGCAAAGCAACAAAAATAAAACAATCCAAAAAGAGGAAAAACGCTGTAGTGTACATAAAAAACTTGAAGGGTTGTACAATGCGGTCAAGCGACGAAAAATATATCCTTATACTAAGATCTTATGGGCTTATTTAAAAGGTATACTTAAATTATGATTCTTATTAGTTCAGACTTCTAAATTTTAATTTTTTTGAGAGCAAAACACTGTAGTATAATTAATAATTTGAGTTTGAATATATGAAATAAATGAATCATATAATATATATTTGATAATTGATTATATATATGTGCTATTTTATTGCCATTTATATAGTGTAGTTCTCAAACCAACAACCAAACCCTTTACTATCTCTTTGTGATACGTATATAGACGTATGCGGTATATGTGTACGGTATGCGTACACATATGAATGCCCCGGAATGATTGTATATTATAGTACTAAAAAACAATAAAACTAATAAATACAATCCGTCCTTTTAATTATATTCCTTGTATGTCTCATAATTGATGAGAATAATAGTAATAACATACCAAAACATATAACAATAATTGATATAAACGATTTAACTAAAATGCCAATATGTGTTTGTGTCTAATATGTGTGTGTTAGAGAATTCTGTCTACCGTAGGTGACGGGAAAGTTTTGCTGAAATATTTAATAGATTATTACAGCAAATTCTAAATATTTTGTCTTTTTTGTTTTGTAAAGAGAGCTTAAAAAAGAATGTATATATATATACTGGAGAGATAAATGGAACTTAGAGCATATGTAAGGGAGTTTTTTAAATTTTAGCTAAATTCTAACTTATAAAATGGTTGAAAAACTATTTTAGTTAGTATTTTTTTAGTGAATTATTCCAACCATATTTTCTATTTTAGCTAAATATAGCTTATTTTAATATTTTTTGAGTTTAAAATAAAAATAATTTATTTTTTAACTTTTACTGTGTCAAAACAAAAAATAAAATAATAAAAAGAACAAATAGTTAGCAAATTCTTACTAGCTATATTTAACTAGTGGAAAATACTTTAGCTAAAATAGCTAATAATTGGAGTGGAGAAAAACTAAAAAAAGCTAAATTATGGTTGAAGTTATTTTTACACCCATATAAGTACCGCAGGGGCAGTTAAATGTAATTAAGCGAATAAAACATGCATGCATGAGCAGGATTATATATAATTAATTATCCAATCTATCTCTTGAAATCATTATTAGTAAAACCCCAAAGTAGATCTCTCGCACACACGGTACATAAACTTTAGAATACGATCAAAAAATTAAAAAGAAGAAAAAAAAGGAGAAACTGAAAAATATAATTTTCCATGCATGTCAGGGTCAATTAAGCATCAATTTAGATGTTAGTCCCGTGTCCTTTCCAATGTGGTTATAGTTTATCAAACACTACATGATAAAATACGTGCAAATATAAAAGAAGTGTAAATCATTCTAGAAGATCTAGAGTTTTTTTTTAATAAGTAAAAAATCTATTAAGAAAAAGAAAAAGAAAGGGGGAGAGAGAATGTTCAAGCCTAATTAATTCATAAAAGATTTTGATTATTCTGGAGGTTGCGGAGCTTAAAGTGGATAATGCATGACGGTCAAACATTCATATAACTGCTAAGAAAAAGATGAAGAATTTTGATGTTTAAGATAAATTAGCGGAATTACTTCATTATTTGAGGAAAAAAGAATATGAATAAATATTCTGGAAGACATCATCTAAACTTCGCGCTTAAAATGGGAAATGGTGTTTAAAGTTAAAAATTAATAGTAGGCTTCGTTGGTTTCGCTCGTTCGGGTTGAGAATTTAATTTAAAAATTAAATTCATGCAGAAAATGTTAAATTTATAATTTTGGTGAAAAAAAATACTATAACAAAAACTTAAGTTGTAATTCGAATTAATAAAACACACTAGCTCTTAATTTCTTATAGGTTGCTCCTTTGCACTCTTCTTTTTCTTTATAAGGTTGCTTTTCATTTTCTTTTCACTGACTTTTATCTTTTAGCAGATTAGCAAACATTTTTCTTCTCTCTGTTTTTTTTCCTTAATAAAGTGTTTTGCTTGTTAAAAAAAAAATCATGCATGTAAACAAAAAAAAAAACAAAAAAAAAAAAAACACGATGAAAAGAAAAGAAAAAACCTGAAAATACTTCGCGCATGTAAACACGATCGTACTAAAAGACTTAATATAATTGTCCATATATATATATGTATATATAAGTATAAATATGTATGTATGTGTGTGTGTGTGTATATATATATATATATTATGAGATCATCTTGCCTATTAGGAGAAGTGATGGCAAACTCTTTCCAACCTAGATTTGGTCCTTCCCATTTGAGGATTGTACCGTCTGAAACGCTAGCGTACGGCCCTTTTCCATGGCAATCGAAGGCGAAGCTCTCGGGGCCGTTCACCTTGGGAAGCTCTATTTGGTAGTAGTTTTTAGGGTAAACAAAGGAATTAGCTTCAACTTTCAGCACTGAAAGACTGAAAGTAAGGGCGTTTATGATAAAGAGTAGGGATACAAAGTGGGTCGGAAATGATGGCTTCATGTCTCCAGTCAACAAAAATATGAAAGGATCCTATAACTCTTACAAATATGACTGCAAATCCTTTATATATGATCTAAACTACGCACAGTATCTACATTAAAGAAGTATGTATATAATGCCCCAACTACTACTTCTGGTTACAATAATTAGCAGTTTAATTTCATATTTATATATCACATACTTCGATGATATATATGGTGTATTATTTTATATTAAATTGAATAAGGGAAGAAGTTAATGAAGTTGTCAGATTTTAGTCATGAGTTAGGGAGTTGGTCAGATTGGGGATTATCCAAAGAGGACATATTGCTCAAAATCAGTTGGCCATAAACCTAATAACGCCTTCCATGTGGATGGTCTCTAGTGCTTTTTGGGTTTCCAAGAGAGAGCTACACGTAGGTCTCTTTTTATTTTTTTTTATTTTTTTTTATTTTTTATTTTTTTTAAAGATCTTTTGAGAAGAATGTGACATTTTGCAATGATATATGGTCTCTTTGGTAGAGTTTTTGTTTTGCTATTAGATTTTGTTTTGGTTTTAAAATTTCTTAGTTAAGTAATAAAAATGTTATAATGATGTTTATTATGTCTAATTTAAACTATGATACAAGTTTTAAAACTACATAAAAGCTTTTATGAGAAGCTACATTTTATATAGTTTTGACCGGAGCTTTTATTCTAATGAGCAAAAGCAATTTTAATAGAATATTTAAACACTTACAAAAGCAATTTTTGGTTTCACTAATTTAAAAACAACTTTTAACAAGCTCTACTAATTAAACAAGCCCAAAATTAATATGATCAGTATTTAGATTACTCAAACTTAATATATCTTAATTACGAGAGTCTGATGCCTAATTTTGGTTGTTTCTGATATTTTTTGATAAATCATGAGACGAAAGAACTGATATTAACATATCCTAATTAGAAAAAAGGGTGATGATCATTATGCAGCCTTTAAATTTTCTACGAATATTGTTTTCTATTTCTTTTGGGTGTGGGCTTAATGTTTTTTTTTCCTTGAAAATTTTTTTATGGTAGGATACGTTGTTTTGTTTACCGGTAGAGCAAAATTCTGTTAACTGTTTGGTTAAATTTTAACAGCTTCAACTATTTACCTCTAAAAAAACTATTGGTAAAACACTCTATTTTAATTGTTAAATTTATTTTCAACGGTCAGATCTGCAAAAGAAACAGTTTTGTGCGGCGCATTGTAAAGACACCTCTATAAATAGAGTATTTTCGTACTTTTTTTTCAGGGTGTATTCTCGTATTTTTATACCTCACGGTGCATTCTTTTTTGTAACGTATACACGCATAAATCAAGCAGTTGATTTTTTATCTCTCAGTTTCCTAAAAGAAAAAAAAGGTTAATTAATAATGATTACAGTAACTACTTGGTTGATTGATTGCGGCAGTAAATACGTATCCACGTCAGTTATTTATTTACGACCTGCTGTACATGTACACAGTATACTTTCAATAGATATTAAAGAAAGTGTCCAGTAGTACTGTTAGCTCGTATCGTTTTAAAATCCTGTCGATATGTCTTAATATAACCCTATCTAACAAATAGATGATCTTATCATTGATATATATTGACGACCAATATGGTCTTCTCATCAACTTTTATATATATGTACGTATATACCTGTTGATACACGATACATGCGTACGTACATAATAAGTCATGTTTCTGTGTGTGGCACACACATTTTCATTTTTATATATGATTTCCATTAAATGTAACTATATATATATATATAGAGAGAGAGAGAGAGAGAGAGAGAGAGAGAGAGAGAGAGAGAGAGGCCGACGTACTGCTTGAGACATAATATATTTGTCATGATCACTAAATGATCCTAAACAAAAAGGATAATATATATATATGACACTATTTCAATATATATGTATGACACAGTTTTCAGTTCTTTTTGGTAGAAATGAATATATGGTAGGTTAATATTAGCATCGCAAAATGATATTTGATCAGACGTATTATGTAATGTCATATAAAAATCTGAAGTACTTTCTAAATGATATATTCTTACGTGTTTTATGTCGAGTCTGTTAATATATTGTTATAATTGGTTATATACTATTTGATACACCAAAAATAACCAAAGACGCGTAGAAAGAACAAAAGTCTTACTTGATATGATGCGCAGACAGTTATATTAAAAAACACTATATATATATATATATATATGTGTGTGTGTGTGTGTGTGTGCGCGCGCGCGCGCGTGTATTATATATATAAGTAATATTTATGGGAAGAAGAGCACGTGGAGTTAATATTGCTGATGAAGAAGAGCGACAACAGATTTTCGTTGAACATCATCTCATTAGATAGATCATGGTGATTGTTGACGGTTGGATTTCGTCAACAATAAACTCGCCGGATTATTTTGGGATTACTCTTTGGATTACTGATTTGTGGGTTTAATAAAAGTGTGGATTCTAGTTTGATTTAAGTATTTTTGTGTTTGAATGAACTGTATGTAAATGAACAAGAAGAATTTTATAGTGGTTCACTCTATAAAATTAGAGCTACATCCACTGTGTATATTGTATTTCTTTTGTAGAGGTTATAGTTTACAATAAATGCTATCTCTCTCTCTTGCTCTTTCTCCTCTGGAATCTCTGGATCTCTTCCCTATTGGGGTCCTTCTTCTTTTATACTCGGGCTTCCTTCACTGGGTGGGTTTTCTTCGTAGGTAGGAACACTCAAGTGCTCTCCCTCTCTAGGCCCAGACATAGCTGATAAGTCGGTTTTATACCGGTAAGTTGAATACTTTTGACTTGGAGTTTTGTTAGTTTGAGAGCCAGTTTAATGGTGTTTCGAGTGTTTTTGGATGTGTTTCACAGGTGAAATAGAAAAAGGTTATTGGATGATCATAATGTGGATTTTCAAATATAAATTTTCTTTCTGCAAAAAAAAAAAAATAATAATAATAATAATAATTGTGAAGTGTCAAGCGTCCAGGTGGCAAAATTTAAATTTGGAATACTAGAAGATAAATTGGAATGCTTATCCAAAAAAAAGATTCGGATTATCTCTTGGGAGACTTGAAATTCAAAGCTTTCCTCTACGGAGAACTATATAAACTAAGAGATGGACTTATGTAACAGAGGGGGGCGTGCGGCTAAAAGAAAAAAAAAGAAGAGAATTTCTACTACGCAAAGAGAGATTGTCTTCTATTTCAATTGCAGATTGAGGAAGAAGGTCGGAGAGAGGGAGATCGTGATCGCCAATTTTTATCATAATCTTTCTTCTCTTCTGTTTTGATTTGTAATTTTAATTATGATAATACTCAATTCAGTTTTGCTCTTTAGTTTTATGATGAACTAATTTATTTTTCTAGGATTGCAATTGGAACTCAACATGAATCTTGAATTTATTTATTCTATCTCTTGACTTAAATTGATCAATATTGAATTGTTTATTCTACCTTGTGCTTAATGCTTCTAATTAATTGATCACTAATTAGATTGATTTGGTAACCTTAATGAACTTGGAAAAGGGATTTTTGTGTTTAGCCTTAGATAGAATGACACATGATTAAGATATGGAAGCCTTAAGCTTATGTAGGATAGGAATATACCTACGTAACATGTGTAGCCAATAAGAGGGGCCTATGCTTAATGAACCTTTCTTAATCTAATTCTCATAGGAATATAGTGAGTTAGGGTAAGGGGGGTATTTCTACTTGACATCGGAAGA